TATGCCATTGCAGCACAGGTCCTCGCATTGACTAACTACATGGCATTCATCACGGGGGCCCTGGATATGTTGCTCTCTTCTGACCAGGCGCTCAGTGGAGACCTCCTGTCACAGGCGAGGACCACCTCGGCGGCGACTCTGCGCATGTGCCAGACGCTAGCTGTGGATGGTGGCCGCTCCATGGCAGCAGCCCAAGTCAGCAGCCATGGCAGCAGCCCAAGTCGGGCCAGGCACCTTTGGCTTGGGCTGGCTAATATCAGGGAGGCGGAGAGGAGGCAGCTGCTGGACCTGCCCACCTCTCAGATGTCCCTCTTCGGCCCGGACATGCAGGCCTGGGTGGCGAGACTGGAGTCTGCAGCTAAAGACTCGGCTAGGCTAGCCCCGCACCTAGCACCGAGGCGCGAGGCCCACCAGCCATTACGGAGCCGGGACAGAGGCAGAGAGCGTTGGCCCGGGAGGCATCCTGACCCGTATCCGCGCTCTGTTATCCATCGTCCCCCCTTGACAAGGCCCCCGGGTCCAGACAGACCCATGGGTGGCTCGCGGGAGCAACGCACCCACCACCGACCTCCCTATGGCAGAGGAGGCCGGGGGGGAAAAAATTTTCCTTCAATAAAGGCCGACCGGCATTTCCATTACTTTTCTGAGTCTGATTTGGGGGTATGTAACAAGTCAAATATTGTGAATTCTGATTGTGTTACTTCCCGGGCACATAACGTTGCTTCGCTAGGCCTGCAGCCCCAGAGAGGGGCGTGCAGTGCACTACGAGCTCCGGTTTCTCTGATCCATACTATGCCCTCCCAGAGAGAGGTCAGGCGGAGGGATCTGGTGAGTGATATGTGTGTGCTTCGGCCGAACGCGTGTTAGCATTTCTGAGCTACAGGGCTAACACGGGGTTTCCCACTCCAGGGGCTCGCCCCCCCCCCCTCCATGAGGCAAGAGCCAGGGGGGGGCACAGCAGCCGAGTCACGTGTGGTGAGCAGTCCCGTACTTATGACGTCGGGCCTGCAGGACACGTGACCGCCCCCGGCGCTCACGGTGTGACGCAGGAGGCCCCCCGGCCCTTTCGTCCACCCCCCCTCCCTGCTAGGAACACCAGGAGAGGGCGGGGCCGTGACGTCTCGTGTTCCATCTCCCGTTCCGCCCCTCACAGATTTCTACAACATCTGGAGGGAGCAGGGCCTACTGACAGATATTTGGCTGGAGAAAACTCTGCGCAGAGGTTACGCGCTGCAATTTTTCCGAAAGCCACCACCATTCCGAGGCGTACGGGCAGTACGCTCTCAGGTACGGGGATCGACAGAGGCACTACAAGCGGAGGTCTCCTCTCTGCTGAGTCGAGGCGCAGCAGTGGAGGTAGACCCGCAGGACGCCACCAGGGGGCTGTACTCCCCTTACTTCTTAGTGCCAAAGAAATCAGGCGGGGTGCGTCCCATTCTGGATCTGCGCGTGTTAAACGAGTGCATTTCCAAACGGCAGTTTCGGATGCTGTCCACAAGGCAGCTCCTCGAGTGTGTCAGGGAAGGAGACTGGATGTGCTCCATAGACCTGACAGATGCGTACTTCCACGTGCCGATAGTACCGGAACACAGGAGGTTCTGCGCTTCGCAGTGGGAGAGAGGAATTACGAGTACTGTCGTTTTCCCCTTGGGCTACGCACTCGCGCCGTGGAGCAGGGGTAAGAATTAATCTACATAGACGTCGGGTTAATTCTGGCCTCATCCAGGGAAGTGGCCGTGAGTCATACGCACTGGGTCCTGTCCCACATACAGCGCCTGGGCTTTGTGGTTAACAGGGAGAAAATTAACAGTTACCTTTGTAACTTAAGTTCTACGAATAGGTGCACGTGATATCCCACTAGCGAAGTCTGCTAGGGGACGTAGCACCATGACGTAGAAGCAGGCTGCAACCGGCTCAGCGCATGATCTATCTCGGTCTGCAGCTAGACTCTGTGACATTCCGTGCTGCATGGTCCGTGGACAGACGGATGAACACTACCCGTCTGCCCGGGGAGGTTCTGGCGGGCCCCAGAGTCCCTGCTGGGAATGATGGCGGCGGCTCATGCTGTGGTGCGGCTAGGCCTTCTCCACATGAGGAATTTTCAGAGGTGGTTCTCACGCCTCAGGCTTCACCCCTCCCGGGACGGGGGGAGGCTGATCTGGGTTCCCCAAGTGGCAGCATCGAACATCAGGTTCTGGCTCACTCCGGGTCTTCTACGGGACGGAGTGACTCTGGCCGGCGCCGTGTCTCACATGGAGATGTTCACGGACGCGTCGCTCGAAGGATGGGGCGGGGTCCTCGGCCAGAGTTCTGTAGGAGGCTGCTGGTCGGACTCAGCCCGTCACATCAACCTGCTGGAGATGGAGGCAGTGCACAGGGTACTGCTGCACTTTGCTCCTCAGCTGCAGGGGAGACACGTGATGGTGCGCTCAGACAACACCACAGTGGTCTCCTATCTGAACAGGCAGGGGAGCACCAGGTCCCCCGCTCTCCATCGCATGGCAAAGGTGACGCTGCTGTGGGCGGCGCTTCACCTCCTGTCTCTCAGGGCGCGCCACGTCCCGGGGGTCCGGAACGTGGGGGCCGACAGGATGTCCAGGGGGGGGGGCCCACTCCAGGACGAGTGGGGCCTGGCCCCAGGGGTGGCTGCGGAGATCTGGCGGAGGTTCGGCCGTCCAGTGGTCGACCTTTTTTCGCCAGTGCAGGAAACGCACAGTGCCCGTCCTGGTTCGCCTCAAGGGCCGCGGACCAGCCGCCTTTAGACGTGGACGCTCTGGCTCATTACCCCTGGCCAGGGGGCCTGCTGTACGCGTTCCCCACCAGTGCGTCTCCTGCCGGTCCTGCTGCGGAGGATCGAACAGGAGGTCGGTGATCCTGGTGGCGCCGGACAGTCCGCATGCTCGGTGGTTCCCCTTCCTGAGGGGCATGGCGGTGATGGAGCCCTGGGCCCTCCCGGACGAGCCGGGGGCTCTAGTCCAGGGGGGGAGGAGCCCTGTTTTTACGCCCGATAATCGGCCGCAGGCTCTGGGTTGGAGGCTGAGAGGCGGAACCTCGTAGACCTGGGTCTTCCCCCTGCGGTGGTGGAGACCACTCAGGGGGCGAGGGCGCCGTCCACTGTGAGGGCCTACGCCACGAGGTGGAGGCTCTTTAGCGACTGGTGCGGTTTTCGTTCCTGGGATCCCAGGCGTTGCCCGCTGGAGGGGGTCCTGTGATTCCTACAGGAGCTCTTTGACAAGGGGAGGGCTGTTGCCACCTTGGCGGTGTTCGCGGCAGCCATTACTTCGGGTCACAACGGATTCGGGGGGTTCACAGCCCGCTCTCATCCGTTGGTTAAACGTTTTCTGCGGGTGGCACGCAGGAGGAGGCCCCCGCTCCAGAGAACGCCCCGGTTTGGGACCTCAGGGTGGTCCTTAGGGGGCTGTCGGGTCCGCCTTTTGAACCGGCGGCGGAGGCGAGTCCCGAGTGTGTCGCTTTAAGACGGCCCTCTTGTTGGCGTTGGCGTCTGCTAAGAGGGCGGGCGACTTGTGTGCGCTCTCTGTCCATGCGTCTTGCCTGTCCTTGGAGAGGGCGACGGCATGGTGGTATTGTGGCCCAATCCGGCTTTTCTCCCCAAGGTCATCACGTCGGCCTTTAGGTCGAGAGTCATCAGGATTAGGGCTTTCTATCCGCCACCGCATGCCTCCCCCGAGGAGGAGCGGCGGCACCTTCTGTGTCCTGTCAGAATGCTGAGGCATTACCTGGCCATGACGTCGTCATTCAGGTTGGGTGGCCAGCTGTTGTGTGTCTGGGCCCCAAGAACAGGGGCCCCGCTGTCGGCTCAGCGGCTGGCGCACTGGGTTGCCACGGCTGTGCGGCGGGCGTATCAGACGCAGGGTCTGGCCCTCCCGGTGGGCTTCAGGTTGCATTCCACGCGTGGCATGGCGGCCTCTACGGCCCTTCTCAAGGGGGGTGTCGGTCGAGGACGTATGCCGTGCGGCTTCTTGGGCTTCGTTCTTCTCTTTTGTCCGGTCTTATCTTTTGGATGTGTCGGACCGGTCGGTGGCCCATTCCGTGCTGAGTGCAGCGGACTGAGTTAGACCGTTAGGTCCCTCCTCTGAGGGGGCCTTCGGTTTACTTTTCCGCCCTGGTTCAGGAGCTCTTGGGAGAGGCATCCTACAGGTGCGGTACATATATGTGTGTTTTGGTCGGTCTGGTAGTCCACGTCAGGAGCCCTTGGGAGAGGCGTCCTGTGACTACGGATGACCTATATCTGTGTTATGTGGGGGTATCCTTGGTAGGAGTGGCCCTGTAACACGCATTGTTTCTTCTGCCCTGAGTCCTCTCACTTTGTGAGGGTCTTGCTCGGGCGGAGCTCCAATCACCCTTCGCTGGCCTGCTGGGAGTACATTTTCCTACGGCCTCCGCGTTGTGTCCCACTAGCGAAGTCCTAAGGGACGTAGCACCATGACGTAGAATTAATAGTTACTTAATGTAACTTAAGTTCTACGAATAGGTGCGTAGTCCCTTAGCTACGAGCCCATCAGGCCAGCCCGGCTTGGCAGAGTTCAAGAGGGGGTGCGGCCTTGTGCAGGGGCATTTATAGAGGAAGGTGGCTGGTGATTGGAGCAAATTATTTTGATCTCTCTGGCGTTTGACCTGGGGGTCACGAGTGATATCCCACTAGCGAAGTCCTAAGGGACTACGCACCTATTCGTAGAACTTAAGTTACATCAAGTAACTATTAATTCTCATTCCACAGACACACAGGCACTGGGGAAGAGACTCGTTCTCACTTCCACAGACACACACGCACTGGGGAAGAGACTCGTTCTCACTTCCACAGACACACACGCACTGGGGAAGAGACTCGTTCTCACTTCCACAGACACACACGCACTGGGAAAGAGACTCGTTCGCAATTCCACAGACACACGCGCACAGAACTGCCCCACGCTCCGCCGCTCTCCGCCTCTCCTCCGCGCCTCTCACGTGGATGGGGACCACCACACTGCGCTGGGACCATGCCGGCGATGAAGGGATTATTGGCGCCGCAGAACACCTTCCTCGACACCATCGCCACGCGCTTTGATGGCACGCGTAAGTTGGAGAGTTCAGTCAGAGCCCGCTGAACTATATTTGTTTTGTGTAGGACAAATGCGTAGCACTGATATATAAGATACACTTTTCATTTGTCAGAGAATGTAGATTGACGGTCCGCTCTTGAACAGGAAATGTTCTTGTTTGGTAGATTTCATGCAAATGCATATGAGCCACGTGTAACTGCGGTCCTGTGATAGACCTGGTTCAGTCCAATGTTTTTTGGAAGTCTGATAACATCCTGGTTATGACTTCTTTAGTCCTTTATTTCAGACCCAGTGTGGCCTGGTTTGACCTGATTAGGACCCGGTTCAAACCTGGGTGTCAGGATATTTAATTTGATTTATATTGATATTGAAGCATTTACAGCCATTAAGAAACAGCAGCTTCTTACATTGTATTTTCTGTGTGTTCCCTGTGTGCTCTTCTACTGTCCTTTATGTCGCAGCAACATCGGAACTCTCCCACTGTGGGAGATTTTTCTCTAATCTTATCTTGAGTCGGGACTCAGGAGCTGTCTTTGGTGCTGCAGTCTGCTTCAGCACCTCCAACAGCGACACGCAGCCCCTTCTTACAGATTTAATTTGAGATGTTCTATGATTTATTTTACTTTTACCTTTAGGGTATTGCTTTATTTCCAGGGTAGTTTAATTAGGGTTTGATTTTGTTAGAAAGCTGGTTTGGACCGGATTCATATCTGGTTGTGATCGAGTGCTTCCCTGTTCAGATCTATACAGTATATTAGTCCTGGTTCAGTTCTGGTTAAGTCCTTCTTTATACCCGTTTTGGATGTGGTTTTTCCAGCTTGGCCAGTCTCTGCTTCAGTCTCTGCCTCATTCTCTGCTTCAGTCTCTGCTTCAGTCTCTGCTTCAGTCTCTGCCTCAGTCTCTGCCTCAGTCTCTGCCTCAGTCTCTTCTTCAGTCTATGCCTCAGTCTCTGCTCCAGTCTTTGCCTCAGTCATTGCCTCAGTCACTACCTCAGTCTCTGCCTCAGTCACTACCTCAGTCTCTGTCTCAGTCTCTGCTTCAGTCTCTGCCTCAGTCATTGCCTCAGTCACTACCTCAGTCTCTGCCTCAGTCACTACCTCAGTCTCTGTCTCAGTCTCTGCTTCAGTCTCTGCTTCAGTCTCTGCCTGCGTCTCTGCTTCAGTCACTGCCTCAGTTTCTTTTCCAGTGTCTGCCTTTGTCTCTGCTCCAGTGTCTGCCCCAGTATCTGCCTCAGTCTCTGCTTCAGTCTTTGCCTTTTGGAGATTGTTGTGAATGTTATTGTATTTTTTATCTTATTTTTTACTAATATTGTTACTCCTGCTGCGTGTGTGATTGTATATACACTATATCAATTAAATCCAAGTGGTTGGATTTGATAAACTTATGGCAAACATTTCCACAAAACTCAGTCAATGAATTGTGAATTGTTATTTAAATGCAACAGCTTTGCGTGATTACATTCTTCATTAGGATGTTATGTTGTTAAATAGTTATTGACAATTTTATGTTGGATTTAAATAATAATATGAATTTGGATTTAAGTGCGTCACTTGCATTGAACTTTGGATTGAATTAACACTATTAGTTTTGATGAGTTATGAAATACATTTTAATATTTTTGCGTAATCAAAACTAGTGTAGTGTCAAATGTAGATACAAATTTTATTGTCATCTATAGTCTTAATTATAGGTTGGATCTTTCATCTCACGTCCTCAAGGATCTCATCCTGATCCGAGCTCTAGGATGTGAGATGAATAGGTCCAACCTCTAACTAGACAATAGACAGCTAAAGAACCTTTCTCTACTTTCACACATAAACATGTATTAACATGTATTAACTTGTATTAACAACTTTATTTTTAGGGAGGCAAAGCTCCTTTGAAAGATTGTGCATAGGCAGTTGCCTTAAAAATCAAAAACATATTTTCTGTTCCAACAAAGTGGCAAATGGATTACATCAATTGCAGTACGTAAAATCTTATACATTTGTCAATCTGCTGTTGATCTGCAGAGTTCATACAACACACAATGTTGCTACTGCTCAACATTTGCAGAACCTTTGCCGAACAAACACGTTGTCTATGCAACGTGTTTGTTCGTTGGACGCTAGCGTCTTCTGTGTGTGAGGAGGAGGAGGCGCAGAGACTCCTGTGTGTGAGCGAAGAAGGAGGAGGAGGAGCGAGACACAGGTGTGTGAGCTGCTATTGCCGATGTTTAGTCCGAATGTACACATGAAAAAGCATTAACAAACAGCGTATGCCCAGCTTTAGTGCTCACTGCGAGTGCAGTGGATTTTGGGCATAAAAAGCGTATGTTGTGGTCAGAGAGTGTGGAGGCGACAACAGATACGTTATTTGATGGGAATGAAGGACTTCAACAAAAAAGTCTGCCAGATTCCCTTATCCTTCACAATTAACTTGTGTTGCACCCTCTGCTCTGAGAGTTTGGGAGAGGTTTGTGTATAAATAAACGAAGGAGATAAATGTTATGTGTGAATTATATACACCTATATTTATATATTTTCAATGAGTAAAAAAAAAGTAGTAATTCTTACTACTGTAGTCGTTGTTAAAGGTTTTCAAATCTTTTCATATGAAATTTCTTGAATGGATTTCTATTAAATAAAATACTTGTACCCTAATCTATTGAACTGATTAAGTAAGTGGACCTCTTTCCAATTTAATTTGGGACCCCTGATCTAGAGCGTTCAAGAGAATGTTAAATTCTCAATTTTCTTCATAAAAAAAAGTTGGACTGTACAGTTTGTAGGTCAAATATATTTGTGAGAAAATCATTTTTGTTTAATGAACTCTGAATAACATTTTCACAATCTGCTGTATGCAGTTATACTGGTTTTGTATGAGAAAAAGGACAATTCACAAATGGGCACAAAGTCACCCAGCTGCATACCAAAAAATACACTGGTATGCAGCTTCTCTGCATACCAGTGTATTTTTTTTAACCAAGAATCAATTATAAACATGAAAACGCAAGTAGTTCGTTATTTCAAATATTTAGAACCTTCAAAAATGTCACATTTAAAACAAAAATCACTACAAATTACATTTACAAAACGTTGAAAAATAGTGCATTAACTATCTTTGGAACAAGTTAGATAAAACAATAAAAACTGGGTGACTTTGTGCCCATTTGTGAATTGTCCTTTTTCTCATACAAAACCAGTATAACTGCATACAGCAGATTGTGAAAATGTTATTCAGAGTTCATTAAACAAAAATGATTTTCTCACAAATATATTTGACCTACAAACTGTACAGTCCAACTTTTTTTTATGAAGAAAATTGAGAATTTAACATTCTCTTGAACGCTCTAGATCAGGGGTCCCAAATTAAATTGGAAAGAGGTCCACTTACTTAATCAGTTCAATAGATTAGGGTACAAGTATTTTATTTAATAGAAATCCATTCAAGAAATTTCATATGAAAAGATTTGAAAACCTTTAACAACAACTACAGTAGTAAGAATTACTACTTTTTTTTTACTCATTGAAAATATATAAATATAGGTGTATATAATTCACACATAACATTTATCTCCTTCATTTATTTATACACAAACCTCTCCCAAACTCTCAGAGCAGAGGGTGCAACACAAGTTAATTGTGAAGGATAAGGGAATCTGGCAGACTTTTTTGTTGAAGTCCTTCATTCCCATCAAATAACGTATCTGTTGTCGCCTCCACACTCTCTGACCACAACATACGCTTTTTATGCCCAAAATCCACTGCACTCGCAGTGAGCACTAAAGCTGGGCATACGCTGTTTGTTAATGCTTTTTCATGTGTACATTCGGACTAAACATCGGCAATAGCAGCTCACACACCTGTGTCTCGCTCCTCCTCCTCCTTCTTCGCTCACACACAGGAGTCTCTGCGCCTCCTCCTCCTCACACACAGAAGACGCTAGCGTCCAACGCTCCATACACAGCACTCATTCCCGCACTCATTCCCGTCTTTCTTTCTTCTCTAACTAACTCAGATTTAGACACTGCTAAAGTTATCTGACAGCTCTGTAAAGTTTTTTTCCGGAGGACCCCGCTGCGCACCTCTTGCCTGCCTGTTTACAAATTGCTATAATTGTAATTATGTACTTCTGAACAAAATAATTACGGAGGTCCAGAAAAAATGGTCTCGGGGTCCGGACCTGGGGACCCCTGCTCTAGATGGTCGCTTTATTACTCTCCAGGAGGACATTCAAATCCTGTGGACTTAGGTGCATCTACTGTTCTTGAGCACTTGTAATTTGTTTGAACGTTTTTTAATTATCCAGTCCCAAAAGCACTCTCTGGATGAACTCAAATGTAATATCTGACTTCTCACATCAAACGACCTCAGTCTTCTCAGGTAGAAAAGTCTGCTTTGACCTTTCTTAAAGGCAGCATTGGCCTGCACTGACCAGTCCAGTCTGTGGTCCAGATGGACTCCCAGGTATTTGTAGGACGGAACCACTTCGATGTCCTGTCCATTTACTATGATCGGTGGATGGGAAGGGCTCCTGTGAAAGTCAATGATCCTCTCCCTGGTCTTGGACGCATTAAGAATCAGACCATTTCTCTCACTCCAGTCTGAGAAGGCAGCTACCACCTCCCTGTACTCTGCTTCACCCCCCCACCCCCCCACCCTTCACACATGCCACAACAGCTGTATTGTCCGAGTATTTTTGTACATGGCATGTATAGCAGAGTTGTGTGCAAAGTTTGCCGTATAAACTGTGAAGAGAAAGGGAGCTAGAACATTACCCTGTGGTGCTCCCGTATTGCTCACAACAGTCCCAGACACGCTCTTCCCTAACCCAACATATTGTGACCTCACAGTGAGGTGTTTCTCCCTCAGTAAGAGAGGTTGTGTGGTCTTAAATGCGCTGGAGAAGTCAAAGCAGTCCCTCAGAGCATCCCTGGCCTGTTGTCCATTGCCTGAATGATCTTCTAACTATGGGCATTCTCAAGGCAAGGCAAGTTTATTTGTATAGCACAATTCATACACAAGGCAACTCAGCATAAATAATCACAGTACATCAAAAAGAAAGATAAAAATTTAAAATCCTTCAGTTGTATGCAAAGCTAAACAAAACTGTTTTTAACCTGGTTTTAAACATTGTCAGAGAGGAGGCCTGTCTCACATTTTCAGGAAGATTGTTCCTGATTTTAGCAGCATGAATCTAAAATGCATTCTCCCCATGAATACTTCTGACTCTGGGCTCTAGCAGGAGTCCAGTCCCTGTGCTCCTCAGAGTCCGAGTTGGTTCATATGGGACTAACATGTCACTGATGTATGCTGGTGCAAGGCCATGGAGAGACTTCTCTGACCCACAGGAAGCCAGTGCGGAGACCTGAGGACTGCACTTATGTTATCAGACCTACTGGTTCTAGTTAGGACTCAAACTGCAGAGTTTTGAATGTGCTGCAGATGTTTTACAGCCCATTTGGAGAGACCTGTGTGCAGGCCCTTACAGTGGAGTACTACTGGAGACAAATGCATGGATAAGAATCTCCAAGTCACTATGTTTTTTTCAATGTTTTTTAGGTGGTAAAAAGCTGCTGATGTTAATCTGTATCTGTTCTGTATTTGTGACTTAAGTGCAACAAATGTCATAGCATTAATGGTTTGAGTTACATCTCGATATGTCTCGAGCTTCGAGATTATTTATAATCGACCTATAATAAATGAAAAAGTGTTAAACATAACGTTAGCACATTATAATTGAAGTATATCAGGACATAAACGCATCTTTATTGCAACTGTCCTGTGTTTTTATCTCTGCTGGGGACTGTCCTGTGTCCTCTCTGCTGGGGACTGTCTTGTGTTTTTCTCTCTGCTGGGAACTGTCTTGTGTTCTTCTCTCTGCTGGGGACTATCCTGTGTTCCTCTCTCTGCTGGGGACAGTCCTGTGTCCTTCTCTCTGCTGGGGACTGTCCTGTGTTCTACTCTCTGCTGGAAACGGCCCTCTCTTCTCGCTCTTATGGATGCAGTCCCACACTCCCCAGCTCATTTATCACATTTAATTGGCCTGCATTGTGTTGGCGTCACCAGTGCTGGGTCAGCGTGGTTGTCATTTTTCATGTTCCATGCTCGGGATCCATAGTGAAGCACAGCGCTGTATGTAACAACGCGCACTGGAGTTAGAGGCTCTCTAAGAGGGACCTGGACAATACAATTTTTGAACATTTTAAATGATAGCTTTTCTTTTCATACAACTAAACATGCTTTCAGTATGACGTAAAAACCAAGCTTATAATGACTCCAAATCAAAATAGGATTTAATGTAGATAATAATTGTGATTAGGATACAGGTATTTGCTAATGCGGTCATTCCTTTCTTCCCTATCTATTTACTTTACACCACCATTCTATGCTTACACCTGGAATAAGCTTCCTGCCAAAAGAAAACATACAGGTCACTATAAAATTGTATATGAAATCTGTGATGGTGATAGACCCCATCTTGGAGATGGGACTCATAAAAGTTGGGTTGTATTCAATATTTTTGAGGGGAAAAAAAACCTATCCCTGTTTGTTGACAAAACACCTTTGTTGGTATGAAGACTATTTATCCAGCCCAGATCCCAGGCTTAACTCCTCTAGCCCAGTATTGTAGATTTCAACACAGTAGGGCTGGTCCCCCTTTGTCCTTTCAGGCTATGCCCACCCAGGCCCGGTGGGCTAAGGCCCAGCACCAGACGCTCGCTTACAAGCACCAATTCCAGGCCTGGCCCGGGGGTGGCCATACTCATTGCCCCCATCCTGACCGCCACGTGTTGGAGTTCTTCCTGGTGAATGAGAGGGTCGCGTCCATCCGCCTCCGGGTGGGGGACAAGTTGTTCACTGTTATGGCGGCCTATGGGCCAAACAGCAGTACAGTGCACTCAGCCTTCTTGGAGTCCTTGGAAGGGGTACTGGATGGTGCACCGACCGGGGACTTCAACGCCCACATGGGAAAGGCCAGTGACACTTTGAGAGGGGTGAGTGGGAAGAACGGTCCCCCTGATCTGAACCCAAGCGATGTTCAGTTGTCGAACTTCTATGCTAGTCACAGTTTGTTCATAATATACACCATGTTCGAGCACAAGGGTGTCCACCAATGCATGTGGCACCGGTACACCCTAGGCAGGAGGTCGATAATCAACTTTGTTGTTGTGTTATCTGGCCTTCGGCCGTGTATTTCGGACACCTTGCCGGTCCCAGCGGCAACTCCCAAACCAGGTGGTGGACACTGGTAGTAAGGGATGCCGTCAGACTGAAGAAGGAGTTCTATCGAGCCTTGATAGTTCATGGGACTCCTGAGGCAGTTGTCGACCACCGATGGGCCAAGTGTGCCACAGCCCGGGCTGTTGCAGAGGCAAAAACCAGGGTCTGGGAGGGGTTCAGATAGTCCATGGAGCATGACTATCGTCGACCTCGATGAGATTCTGGCAAACCGTCCTGCACCTCAGGAGAGGGAAGCAGTGCTTTGCTAACACTGTGTACTGTGTGGGTGGAGAGCTGCTGACCTAGACTGGGGATATTGTTGGGCGGTGGAAGGAATACCTTGAGGTTTTCCTCAATCACCCCATCACAGTTGAGGAAGTTGGGGCAGATACTCCCATCTCCCTGGCTGAGATCACCAAAGTGGTTGGCAGTCTCCTTGGTGGCAAGGCTCCTGGAGTGGATGAGATCCGTCCTGACTATCTAAAGTCTCTGTATGTTGTAAGACTTGGCTGTCTGGGCTGACATGTCTTTGCAACATTGCGTGGCGATCGGAGGTGGTACCAATGGAGTGGTGGTCCCCCTCTACAAAAAGGTGGACCAGAGGGTGTGTTCCAATTATTGTAGGATCCCAGTCCTCAGCCTTGGCGGATCTTGTTCACGAGTGAGGGAAAGATAGTGCGGGAAAGATTGGGGCAGCGTATGCAGTGATGCGGTCGTTGTAAAATCAATGCACTCTCAATTTATATTGGTCAATCTTCATTCTCAAGCAAAAGATAAGACTCCTCATCTGTTCTGAACTGGTCATCACTTAAGCAGCTGCTCATGTGTCTCATCCCGTGGAGTAACAGTCGGCTCTCCTCTCTGCAGACAGTAACTTCATCCTGGCCAACGCGCAGGTCTCCCAGGGCTTCCCCATTGTTTACTGCTCGGATGGCTTCTGCGAGCTCACCGGCTTCTCCAGGGGCGAGGTCATGCAGAAGAGCTGTGCTTGTAAGTTCCTCTACGGCCCAGAGAGCAGCCCAGCGGTAATCCTGAGGATCGATCAGGCCCTGGAGGAACGCAGCGAGTTCAAGGACCAAATCATGTTCTCCAAGAAGACTGGTGAGGAGAACCCTTTGTACACTGTTGTTTAGGACAATATGACATGTTTTCTAGATTATATAATATGATCAAAAGGTTGTTGTTATAGCAGTCTTTGGTTCAAGTGTCACTTGCAGAAAAACAGATTCTTTGCAGTTTTTGGAGGCAGATACCTGTGAATGAAGTCCAGCCACACTTATCCTCATTCATCATAAATTTGTGTAAGTTCTCAGTCATACAGGGATTAGTCAAAACATGGTTTCTCACCCATCATCTGTACTTCAGTTATGAAGGTTTTAAAATGTTTCGTTCTTAATCAAAAGAACTTTCACAAGATAAGGAGAGAGATGCGAGGAGGGAGGAATACAAGGAGAGAGAAACAAGGAAGGAGAGATGGGAGGAGGAAGAGACTTGAGGGGTTGGATGCTCCAATTTTCTGGCGTATCTCACGGAGGGAGGCGGTATGTGAGGCCATACAATACAACACAATTTATTCTTGTATAGCCCAATTCACAACAGTATCATCTCAGAGGACTTAAAAAAACCATTGAAATCACCAACACAGATCAGAAAATAAACAGTTAAGACACAAAAAAGAATATAGAACACATGTTGATTAATGTCCATACATGTTGTAGATTGTTAAAGTGTCCTGGATCATCACCACAGTCCTTTTTGTTAGACACTAACTGTCCAACAGACCCTCCTGCATCAGCAAGGAAAAACTCACAAAAACCCAGAGGAAAAAAGTGAGAAACCTCAGGGAGACCCACATATTGAGAGAGGGATCCGCTCCACACGAACAGACGGGCTATAGATCCAGGACTCGGACTGTAGAACGAGGACTGAGGCTGTTGATCCAGGACATAAGCTATAGAACTTGGTCCAGGGCCACGCAGCGGCCTCAGAACGTGGACAGGTGCGGTGCAGGACTGAAGCAGCTCCCAGTCGGGCAAGGCAGTCTGCAGGTGTAGAGGAGGCCAGGTCAGAGGCCGGGTCAGAGACCACAAGAAGGCCCCAAACCAGACCTATGTAGAGTTTGCCCGAGAGAAACAAACTTTACAGTTTTTCTCTATTGCTTAAACACACTTCACGATACTGCCCTCCCTTTTCTCAAAACTCTAAACACAAACCTCTTTTCTAAAGCTACGTACACACAACAACAGAGTCTCTTTTCAAAACCGACCCATCACACCAAAACAATTGCTCATATTCTCAAAAGTAAACTTTGACACCAAAATACCTTTCAAGGTCTGCCAAAATGTGAACACTACTGAGCATCATTAACCACATCACCAAAACAATTGAAAACACAATTTTCAGAATGTGAGACTGTTCTTTTTACAGTCTTTTTACAGTTTCAAATGTTTTGGGCATTTACTATAGATGTTTGCGTTTCATGAGAATAGTTACAGTACATAAAGTAGAAAATGCAGTTATATCACAACTTAATGCAAACATGAGTAACTCCATGGAGCATCCATGACACACAATAGATACTACAGTACAGTAACAATTGAAAACACAATGTTTAGGGCAGTGCTTCTCAAATAGTGGAGGGGGTGCGATGACAGGGGGGGGGGGGAATAGTGGGGGCGCCCCCCCTCCACATGCTCTGGTGCCACAGCGGACTCATTCCCATGTGACCGGCGCTGACAGGACAAGTGCGGATCTTTGGACAACCTGTGGACGCGATAAATACACCGCTGTGAGAAATACAGCTGAACTATATGAGCCTCTGGAAGTGTCCCCGTGTCTCCTGTAGCCCTGAAACTACAACTCACTAAATTAAAGCTGGGGTACCTAAATTTCCCTTGCATTCATAATGCATGTTGCTCCTCTCCCTCCTTGGCCTGCTCCTCACCCTCTTTGACCTGCTCCTCTCCCTCCTTGACCTGCTCCTCTCCCTCTGTGGCCTGCTCCTCACCCTCTTTGACCTGCTCCTCTCCATCCTTGGCCTGCTGTATTTGAAAAATGGTGCACTTCATCAAAAATTAATTCACTTTGTGACTTGCGTGAATTAATTTTGTTGGAGGAATTCAAAAATAATTTATCGGAGAGAGTTGTTATGTATTTGAGTGAACAGAAAGTTACCACGTTGCAAGAGGCTGCTGTATTGGCTGATGAATTTGCGCTAACTCATAGGACCACCTTTGGTAAGGAGAAAAATTGGTCCTTTGTCTCAGAGCCAATTCGTAGATCCGCCAACACGCCACCCAGAACCAAAGAGCAACGAGAGTGTTTTTACTGTCACAAACCTGGACATGTCATATCTAACTGTTTGGCTCTTAAGCGTAAACCAAATTATTCTGCCACTAAAGGCAATGGTGTCGGATTAATTAAACTAGAGACTGCACCTGTCGTAGCCGAAAACGCAGATCCGTGTTTCAAACCATTTATATTTAAAGGCCTTGTGTTTGTAAAGGGAGTCCTGCATGATCAGAAGCCTATCAGCATTTTACCAGACACTGGGGGATCTCATTCTGTAATATTAGCCAGTGCACTGCCATTTTCATCTGAGTCTTACTGTGGATATAATGCTGTGTTAAGAGGGATTGAGATGGGCTACTGCCCGCAACCCGCACATTTTGTGCACGTAAAATCTAATCTTGTTACCGGTGTTTTTCCGATTGCTGTGTGCCAGGAATTACCCATACCAGGTGTGCAAATGCTGATGGGAAATGATTTAGCAGGGGGAACGGTATTTCCTCCCCTGAAAATTGTTAATTCCCTACATTGTAGTCCCACGGAGACGTGCTCCCGTGAACGACTGCTTATGGAGCAAAAGGCCGATCCAACATTAGTGGTGAGTAGTGAACAACGTAAAGACAATGCACAGAAGTACTATTTCCTTGACGATGGTCTGCTTATGCGCAAATGATCCCCTCTCGCCTCTGTGGGTAGTAACTTAAATGCTGTGTATCAAATCGTTGTGCCTCGCTCTTATCGGAGGTTCATTTTGGCTGTGGCACATGAAAGCCAATGGTCTGGCCATTTAGGAGTCACTAAGACTTATACACAAATTTTAAAACAATTCTTTTGGCCTGGATTGAAACGTGATGTGGCTGAGTTTTGCCGCACCTGTCACGTATGTCAGTTGACAGGAAAACCAAACCAGTCCATTCCCTCCGCGCCTTTACAACCAATCCCTGCCATAGACCAACCCTTTGATCAGGTTATAATAGATTGTGTGGATTTTCGTTTTTGCTTACCATTATGTGTGCTGCGACGCGCTTTCCTGAAGCCATCCCACTGTGTAAATGTACGTCTCGCTCCATAGTGAAGGCGTTAACAAATTTCTTTTCTTTGTTTGGTCTTCCCCGGGTCATTCAGTCAGATCAATGGGCAAATTTTCAGTCAAAGTTATTTAATGAGTTAGTCCAGAGTCTTGATGTTAAGCATGTAGAATCCATGCTGCGTAAATATTGTTTGGAGACGGGAAAGACTTGGAATGAGGGGATTCCCTTTGTGTTATTTGCTACGCGTGATGCGGTACAGGAGTCTCTGGGCTTCAGTCCAGCAGACTTGGTGTTTGGTCACAGTCCACGCGGTCCATTAAAAGCTCTAGAGGAAAAGTTCCTGGCTCCTTCGTCTGCGCCCCATAATGTGCTTGATTTTGTTAGCAACTTTCATGAGCGCTTGGTGGCTGCGAATACACTTGCGAAAGCCATGCTTGCTTGGGTCCGGAAGCGTATGAAAGTCCGGTTTGATAAGAAGACTGTTAAGCGTGATTTTTCTGTGGGAAAGAAGGTGCTTGTCTTGTTTCCCCTCAGGGGAAATGCGCTGTCTGCAAAGTTTGTTGGTCCTCACGAAATAAAAGAGAAAATAAATTACACAAACTTTGTTATCCGTACTCCTGATCGCCGTCGTAAGTCCCGTGTATGTCATATTAACATGC